TCCGAGCTAGTAACAAGGCCAACCAGCTTGCCTCACTTCCAGTTCTAGCTCTACAACACAGCCGGATCACCACATTCAAAAGGTCTTCAAAAAGATCACCTGCAGAGGAGGGGCTAAGCTAACCTGGGCTGAAAGCCAGGAGTCTGGCTTTGATACTCTAAATCTGAGGAGCGGGGCAGGTCCCTCAGGCCAAGAGATCCCTCCGGTGGTGGAGGATTTTCTGGCCACCTGTGTGGAGCTCACAGTTGATCGCGGAGTTGACCAGCGGAAGGCGGAGACCCATGCATGCCCATATTCAGCGAAGGAAGGGGGAAAGTGAAGTCCGTGCTGCTCACAGACTCTACTAGAGAACGAGGAGAGTCTGCAGAGTGGAACAGAGATCCCCAGGGAGTCAGAAGTGTTGGGTCCGTTAATAAAGCAATTCTTTAAAATCCCAATATTTTTCAACAACGTTTAAGTGCATTTAATGATCTGGCCGGGTAAAGCTGGCAGGCGCACATGGGAAAAAGAAAAGCGGTCATCTCTTTCAGGTAGTCTAGAAGGGTTTTAGGGTAGTGAGTAGGATGATACCTTCTCTCTAGGATCTTTGTTCCTTGTATCCCTGTTTTCTTCAGCCCTCTCCCTTCTCCGGAACCCCCTTCCTTTCTGCTGTTTTTCGGTTCACCGACACACTTCCCCAAATGCCAGCCATACCTGCTGCCTTATTTTGTCACCTGCAGATTGGTCCTGAGCCTCTTATCCCCAGTGCCCCTCTGCAGGGAAACTGCTCACCTGGGAGTCAGGTTAGGGTCCCTCCCGGTCCTCGTTCTCCCTGCCCCTGACATGACCACAGATATCATTTCCAGATGGTGACGTTCCTATCACATTGGGTCGCTGGGTGAGGAGAACATGGAGAAAAGCTACCTGCAACCGTCCAGCCCATACTCCAAGATGGACAAACAGTGTGAACAAACAGACATTTGTTGTTTTAGCCCGAGATGTTGGTTTTGTTCGTGACCGTGGCCTGCTCATTTTGACTGGTGTACTAAACTCCTTCAACAAGCTCATCCTGACCAAAAAGACCACGTGCATGCGGGGACCGTTTGAACTTCTGAATATTCTGTGCACAAGGAAGCAAGTATACAGGTCCATCGTTTTCACAGCTACAATCAGGAAAGCCATGGAAACCAGCCAACAGTTTGGAAACACAGAAACCCACCTCTTAGACCTCCAGCTACAGGGAGTGAAAGCCACCACGGGCCCCTGCTACTGTACTCTGAAATCCTCACCACACGTCCCACAGGCTGTCTCCCCAGAAGACACAGGCCTCCTCTGATGGATCTTCTCAGAGTACAGAGCACTTTAAAGAGGACACGCCAGCCAACCTCTCCCCCTCCTTCCCTTGGGGTCACATTTGCACTGCAGTCCGACAACTCTCCCTGCTCCCTATTTTCTCTCTCACAAGCATTTCCCCTAATAAAATCCTTGCATATTTAATCCTCTGTCAGCATCTGCTTCTCTGAGAACCCAGACTAATACAACCATCCCGAAGAATATTCAGCCTTGAAAATTTAGCTTTCATAAATTAAACATACAGAGACAACAGAACTCACTCTTGCTGGTTAAGGGCTATCGAAAGTCATAAATAACCAGGTTTGTACAACATGACGTCCACATCTATGTCTGGCTCTAATTCCTAAAGGATCCATAGGAACATGGTATCATTTTTTTCTAGTGTGACTTTTACAAAGTATGGTTTTAAACCTATTTCCAACAATTGATCTTTTCCTAAATGTCCAAACAGGCTTCCAATCCCTTATTCTAAACCCTGGAGACCATGCATATCTTGGAATTCAAACTTTTCATAGTTTAGAAAAGTAATGTGTACATTGGCCGTATTTGACTAACCCAGCAGGTCCAAGGCCACACTCTATAATCAAATACATTACTATTTCTTCCACAAAACATACAAATTATGAACACAAGTGGAATAAAACCAAACAGCCTCAAGATAGTTCAGGTAAGGGTTTGCCACCAAATGAGTCCAGCAAAGGTTAGGCTGTGCTGCCATTTCAATTATTAAAAAGGAAAAAAATTAGGGGTTTTCTAAGCTTTTCGAATTTCTGAGTTGTGGATAAAGGACTATGGACCAGTATATCTGCACTACAAAAAAACGTGCAGCCTTTTGAAAAAAATCAAATACACCTTTGCTCTAACAGAAGAATGACTGGTCACACCCCAGCACTGGACAGAGAAAGCATGTAGCAGAAGGACTTACAGAGAGAGCGCTATATTGTGCACACAAAGACTGGGGAGAGGTGAGGGAGAGACAGCCTTCACTTGCCAAGTGCCCACACCCCACCTCTCATTACCCACAACTCTTCATGATGACTTCATCTCTGGTTAGGAAATGCTGTGGAAATACAGTTTATGAGAATTGATTGTGATGTAGGCATATGTTTAAGTATGAATTTATTTCTATTACTTATGAAACAGAGAGAATGAGTTCACCTCTGCAAACCACCTACATGGATGAGATGGCCAGTAACTAAAATGTCACGCATGAATTGGGAGCTGAGAGCGTATACAATGGAAATTTATTTAGGATACTAAATGGAACACAAAATATGAAAAATCTAGACAGAAACTCCTACAGTAGTAGGCCTGAGACATCCAGCTACCCCTTCCCTCATCAGAGGAAAGGACACTGGCTCTAGAAGGTGAGTGCTCTCACTAGGAACTCCCCCAGAAGCACCCAGTTCTGGACTTCTTCCTTCATCTGCCTTGGGGTCCCTGTCTGGCCACTCGCAGGAGGCTCCTTCTTCAACCACTGAGAGCCAAGAGGCAGAGGGGAGGCTGATTACCCTCTCCCTTGCCCTGCCTCCTTCCTAAAAATTTTCATTCCAAATGATTAAAACACACACACACACACACCCCGATTGGGGAGTAAGGAGAAAAATAAATTAGGGAGGAAATATTCTCCCTAGTCTCTGAATAGCCTTGGGAGAAATTGCCTGCAAAGGATAAAAGTTAGGGAATTTTAATTAGGGGTTGGAAATTCAAATCTAATATAGCAACGTTCCCTTTGCATTTTATGTAATCAGCACTGACTGTATTTTTTTTTCCCACAATAAGGATGTATTCCTAACTTCATGATCTTAAAAGACCTCATATTTTAATTATAGGCATAAGAGAGCAATATTAGTTAATATATATAAAGTGCTGTTAAAATTCCCTATGAACCACTGCCTGGGAAAGCATCACATGCCAGCACTCTGCCTGCCACTTTAACAAACCTCATTCCACTTGTGGGCTGTTTATTTAGCGTCCCAAATCCAAGGCTCTGTCCTTGGCACCAGAGATAGCCCAGTGAACAAGGCAGGTGTGAACCTTACCCACAAGAAGCAGGCAAGCCACTGTGGAGACAGCCATTGAACAAGTTATTGCACATTTAATGATTTGATTCCACTTGTGGTTAGTGCTGTGAAGGAGTAGCACAGAGGGACCAGTCGGATCCTCATAAGAGTCTCTGACGTGGAGCCCATCCTCAATTATGGATAAAGAGTTATCATTAATATTTGTAATATTAAGGTATGGTAATTATAGTAACGTAAAATATCCTGAACAAATAATCCTTATAATTATCACTATTACAATAATGACTTGGGAAATTATTTTATATCAACTGGTCAATGAGGAAGGCATGGAACTACATGAGGAAGAAAGTAAATGTGTGCGAGAGTATATGGATAATGACTCCCAAAGAATTTCAGTAGCAACGTGGTATTCCTTCACAGAGAATTCCTCCATGCAGAGGCTTAAAGACCTTCCATATAAGACATCCACCGCACCTCTGGAATGGCAAGACACCAACAGAAGGACAACCTGAAAACAAACACGAGGTTTGCATTTTCACAAGATATGTCCTTTATTTTCCAAGGCAGATTTAATTTTGAACACTTTGTCCCTCTAGGCTCATAAGTCACTAAAATCATCTAGAAGCATCAATATTTTGATGTTTAAGCCACATTCAAGATTACCTCTTGAACTTAGAAGTAACAAAAAGCACACTGTCAGATCGGGAACACTGTTTGTTTTGGAAAATACTGCCACTACATGCAAAAGGCAGTAAATGGTAAAAGACGAACATCTTCTATCAGGACCTGTGGCTCTAAACTTGAAGCCCCATTACCATGGCTTCAAAGTTGCCATAATAAGGCATTCTTTGATTCTGTAAAACGAGAGCCCATGGAAATGGTACTTCCATATGCAGAAATGTAGGCATCCCATCAAAACAACACGTGATAAACTTATTGTTTATCTCCCTACAAGGGTTGGCAACTCTACTAACCGGACGAAAATTCTCTGAACTCAATACTCTATGTGTCTCTTTACTCAGTGAAGAAAAACTTATAATTAGAATTCTAAGTCCATGGGTGTCTCCTGACAGCTCACAGCGGAAATGTTATCAGTTGATTTATAATACAAAATGAGAGCATCATAAGAAATCCAGAGTGGTGCTTATGAGACTGCCAACCTTTGTTGGGACCTTAACTTGCTTCACTTTAATTTTTACTGTCACAGAATTGTTATAAAAACATCAAGTTCTATTAAGGAGATGGCAAATCCATGGCCCCTGTGTTATCCTGGCCCCTTTCCCCACCACAGTAAGCCCTGCACTCTCGAGGACAGGCCTGGCCTAGGAGGACAGCCCAAAAAAGGGTTCCAAGAAGCTACTACCCATGAACTGACATAAACACAAGAGTCAGTGTCATTTGCCAGTCCTCAGGTAGACTGTCTTACTCAACGTTCCACGATGCTGTGTTCTATGACACCAAACGGATCCCAACAGACTTCAGCTGTCACCACCATTAAGATCTTTCATATTGCTGAGAAACATGAATGGAATGAGACGAAGAATCAGGCTAAAGTCACCATCGAGTAAATTACACTGTTCACCATCCCCCGGCTTCCGTCACCTGTACCATCAACAGGTAAGATCGCCTCAGCCAATCACTGACCTTGTGGAGCGCAGGAGCCAAGACCGGTACCAAGAATCCATTGTAAATATAATTGACAAGCTGATTGCGAATCAAGGGGTGAGCCACCTAAGAGAGAAACAGGCAGTCATGAAAAAGGCAGAGTTTCATCGTTAGGTCTTCTTAAAATCATACATTTCTGTGAACATCCTACATTCAAAAAGGAAATTCAAATTCTGGCCATTTATTCCATGGTTAAAAAATAATTCAGACTTCAAACTACCACATAATTTTTTCAGATGGTTTATTCCAATATAAACAGCTTGGACTTTCAAATTTTAAAATTGGTAATTTTAAGTTTCAAATTTTTTAAAAAAAGCAGATAAGAAATAGACTGAATATGTGTAAGGACACATAAAGTTAACGAATTGTAAAGTATCATTTTGCTCTATAACTTCAGCTATGTCCAATCAACTTGTGCCTATTTAAAAACAAAAGTATAACTGTCAAAGTGGATAATTCAATACATTTATTATGCTGGCAAAAAGAATTTGTGCTGAAGATGCATTTTCTACACATCATTTATATTGAAGAGGAAGGCATTTAGAAATTCTTATCATAAAAAGTAAGAATCTTTTCAAAAGGAGAAAACATTACCAAAAGTACACTTCCTATATTTCATTTTTTTTTTTTTAAGTTTTTTTTTTTTTTTTTTTTATCAGAGAGAGAGAAGGAGAGAGAGAGAGCACAGGCAGACAGAATGGCAGGCAGAGGCAGAGGGAGAAGCAGGCTCCCTGCCAAGCAAGGAGCCCGATGTGGGACTCGATCCCAGGATGCTGGGATCATGACCTGAGCCGAAGGCAGCCGCCCAACCAACTGAGCCACCCAGGCGTCCCCTATATTTCATTTTTAAAATATATTTAGCATGGATAAGTCTTTACTAATATCTTTTGTGAGTAATCTTTTCAGTGGTACCCCCAAACAAATTTTAAAAAATCTTTGAAGTATATGACCTCGATTTCAAAATATAGTATAAAATATATCATATCTCTGCCTTTAACCATGCCTGTTAGCTTTACTTCTCTTTCTTAAAAAAAAATAATAATAAAATCAAACAATAAAGTGAAAAGCAATTTCTAGGGAAGTAAAGCTAGATCTTTAAATTACTGATAATCTCTCTCTGTGTGTACATTGGGAAAGGAACTAATAGTTTCATCTTTTTTATTTCCACATACTTCTGCAAGAAATGTTGATAGACTGTAATATTAAAGGGGAAAAAAAACCTTAAGATATAATCCATTTATCTTATATAAATAAAACTTCCTTTGACTTAGCAATAAAAATGAGATAGGAACTAAAGTAATTTACTTGCATTTTCTTCCGGAAGCTATTTCTTTATCTGGTAGATAAACAGATTATAACTAACATTTTTCACCTTACAATCAACATAAAGAAAATTTGATTTCTTAATAAATCCAATATGAAGGCAATATGTATTTGTATAGAAAACACTTTTTATGAAAAACCACTACATCCTTAACTATATATAAAATCTGATTTTTATTGAAAAACAGTAACAAGAAATCTGAAGGTAAAAATCTAATCAAGAAGCCAAATACACTAGAGTTCAGTGGTTTTTTTTTTTTTTTTCCCCCAAAGCAGACCAATTTCAAAGCACAGATTAATTTGTGCTGCTAAGAAGATGCTTAACTTCGTCTAAATTCAATTGGGATAACAATATTCTTTATGTGGTATGCACCATTAAGCAAAATAAAGTGTTTTCCTTTGTGTACTCCCAAGAAGACCTTGAAGTAAGAGTGGTATAATTTGGCGTACTTAGAAGCCTAAAAATATCTGTTTAATGAGTCAAGCATTGAACTTATTTTTGATGGTTAAGTGGATAATCAAAACAGAATTAACACTTTTTATGAGGAGGAGAAAGAAAATCCACTCATTTTTTTTCCTCAATTAAAACTTCACCAAACCTGTAAACTAATGTTTTTTTCTTCATCCAAGGACATTCAGTATGCTTAAAAGAAAGCACCACTACTCCACAGACATGAACATTTTTAAAAGGAGTGCTGATAAACTCATTTTTTTACACCGCTCGGATTCTGAACGGACAGAACCAAGGGCTCCTTGGCGGCGCTCCGGTACCTGGATGACGGCGTTGCAGAACTCCAGGGAGTTCATGAACTGGACGAGAGGAGGGAGCAGGAGCCAGTCGTCTTTCAGAAGGCAGTGCCACTCCTCACCCTTCTCTTCCAGCTTGGTAGGCAGGGAAGAGTAGAGACCACTGAGCCCGGTTGCAAGTACCTGTGTTCACAAACACAACATAAGCCCTTTTCCAAAGTTCTTAGCCCACAACCAAGAGCTGCCAGCGGATGAGCATGCCACTGGTCCAAAGCCCACGCTCGAAGCAGCAAGGCCTCAGCTAGCTGGGAGGGATTCAACGGGTGGGGACAACAGGGCAGGACGACTCCAGCGGAGGACATCCTGGCACTGGAGGGATCTGGCTCATACGCTCATAGTTAATTGGGCTTGCTCATCTCTTCTTTGCCAGGCATATGACAGGCTAGGGGGTGTGGGGAGTGAGGGACATACACGCAGAGATGAAGACATGATTCTGCCCCCAAGGTGTTCCAGAGAGAGGCAGACCCACGAACAACGCACAACGGTGCAACACACTGTGAGCAAAGCCGGAAGGCCTGGGAGGAAGCCCTAGACAGAGGCAGCCCATGACGGAAGAGCCCACAGGTTGAACCACCAGCAGCTTTCTGAGAAAGATGACTGCAGACTTGTGAAAGGTCATGACCAATACATGCATGTTTACCGTCTAGAAATCCAGCATTTGTGATTGCACAAATGATAGCAGGAAGAAGTGGGGGTCAGGCATCAGAGGTGACGATGACTGTTCACACAGAGCTAAGGTGGGTCTAAGTGGAAGCACCAGCCAGAAGACAAGAGAGCAGGAAGTGAAGTTGCGTGTCATGTGGGAGGTGGCTGTGAGGGTGCCCTAGCGAGGCCTCTGTCAATCCAGTAAGAACCCAAAGCTCATGGGGTTTCCTTCCCCCCTCATTGCCAGAATGAAACTTCTAGCATTTGGGCTACATAAGTGAGGTGAATGAGACCTCGAATCTGTCAGGTCACCCAGCTTGGTCCTGAAAAAAGCAGTGATGCCTTTAACAAAGAGCTGTAGGGAAGAAACACACTTTCACTGGGTACCTGTCAATTCTACCTCACAGAGTATAAGACCAAGGAAAACAATGAATTTCACGGTCCTAGAGGCCTCCCAACTGGGCAGTGGTGCTGGCAAACCACACCTTCAAGACCCCAACTGGCGGCCATGTCGAGCACGGGCAGGAGATGCACAGAAGGGAGGCAGGGCAGGGATCTGTAAGAAGCATGGCTTCATGGTAAACCCTAAGGTTATGAAGAACTCAAATCAGACTGAAACATTTGAGGAAATGTTCAATCCTGAGTCTGGCCCAGAAAAGAAAGGGTGATGTATTCATTGATCTCACAGCCTAGCAAGAGATGAACAGGCCAATCACAGGAGTGCGATAAGTACAGAATGTGTAATAGAAAAAACAGGGTGCCGTGGATATACAAGAGGCCCTCACCCTAGACCTGCGGGGTTGGGAGCTGGAAATGTTCTCAGAAGTGCTGTCCAAGCTGCGAAGAATAAATAGGAGGGAACCCAGAAAAGCATCTTGGAGGGAGCACTGTTCCAAGTGGAAGACGTACAGAAGCTCCAAGTAGTAAGTAAAGACGGCACCTTCCAGGAACTGAGAGAAGGGCAGCACTACTGGAACATAGGAGCAGAAATAGCACCAGACAGGGTAAGCAGGAGTCGGATCCCACAGGGTTTTGAAGGCCTAGGAAAAGAGCGTGAGGAATACTGCAGTGGGGAGCCCACTAGACAGATGCGTGCCTCTGATGCTTAGGAGAGGGATATGGACTAGAGGTGGATATCTGGAGCCATCCATATGTAGATGGCACCTCAAGCCCATAGAGACCAGAGAGAGGAAGGAAGGGAGGCTCAGACAGATGAGATAAAACAAAATAATCCAGTGTTTGGCATCAGAAACAGAAAGTCAGAAAGAAGTGGGGCAACAGGCAGTTGAACTTTGAAAAATTCTCTGCAAACTCATCATTGCTCTCCTAGTCCCTGTCCTATGCCCACAGCACCCTCTGTGTCCCTCTGTGGAGCAGTGGTCCTTCTTGCATTTAGTTTGTTGGCCATCTTCTCCAGCTCAGCTGGTCTGACTTGTTCATTCTTGTCCACACTGGAGGTGTGGCTGATCTGTCCAGTCAGGTATGCTGAACATCAGACACTAGCAGGACTTGCCATGAGTAATACATCCCACTCGACAACAGAGTACAGGCCTGGAGACTGAGAATCTGGAGGTCTTCATGTAGGGAAACTGGCTGACGCCATGGGAGAGAGGTGGACGGGGGAGGGCCCGATATGGAATAGAAGCCCCCAGTGGCGTATGAGGGGCCGTGAGAAAAACAGACAAACCATTTCAGTATGGGAGAAATCCAATTATATACATTTCTGTGTTTGCTAGTGGCCTTTATTCACGCACGCATTCACTCACTCAAAACAAATTGAACACCTTCAGGCCAGATCCTATGTTAAAGTATAGGAAATGAACAGTAAACAAGATGGTGCACTGATCTCTTTTTCAGTCGGGCATCTGAGGTCCCAAAGAACAATGCCCTCTGTTTAAAGTATTTAACTCCTTGTCAACATACCCAAACAAATCATTTTAATTCTCGTTTTGAATGTGACCCCGGTGAGTTGCCAGTTATAAATTTGGAGCTTCTGGCAAGAAGGAACACAGACTGAGAGTTCTCCTTGCAGGGGAATCTAATCTTGATGTCACATTTTAAAAATCAATTACATTTGCTAACTCATGCTAAATTAACCGCAGTACAAAGGCTTTAATTCTGCATACTTCCAATTCCTTAACCACTTTGAGGCTTTGAAGATGAATTCATAAAGACAGATTTAATATGCCTGACTCAAAAGCTGGGAATCACTATTCTGTATATCAATATAATTACAGTGACATTAATTTTCAAATTACATACATCACTGACAGTAATTAAAAATAACATATACCTAATATTCACTTTTTTAGAGGAGTATTCAGAAAAGGGCATGGCTGAGATGCAAGGGGAAGCCTGCCTGTGCAGGACAGTGCTGCACGACAGCCGGACACAGAGTCCTGCCAAGTTCTCACCTCCACAAAATGGAGTTAGAGGGTAACTGTGCTGCTTTCAGAACAGCAGAGAAACAGGGAAGAAAAGAGTCTGCCGAACAGAGTGTGACATAGTTTGAAGAACAAGATCCCAAATCTTGACTGCTAAATATTTATATTTCCCTTTCCAAGACTCTGCTCAGAGTTCAGATTCATTCACCCCACCCACAAGTATTTCTAGAAGAGTGACTGTGAGCGAGGCACTATGTATGGCTGGTGCTGGGGAGTGAGCAGAGAACAGGTCAGAGCAGGTGAGCTGGAGAAAACAGCCACAGAATGAATAAAGACGACTGGAAAGACTACTGCTCCACAGAGGGACACAGAGGGTGCTATGGGCACGGGACAAGGGAAAAAGAGAGGCAACACCAGGTTTGTGGATCATTTTCCCAGCAGTGTGATGGCACAATCTACTTCCTTCTAAATATCCCTTTTAACTGAAATTTTCAAAATATAAGGACACTGAACATTTAGTTAAAAGTAAAAAGTCTATGGGGAGCCTGGGCGGCTCAGTTGCTTAAGCATCTGCCTTTGGCTCAGGTCATGATCCCAGGGTCCTGGGACTGAGCCCCAAGACGGCTCCTTGCTCAGCGAAGAGTCTGCTTCTCCCTCTCCTGCTCCCCCTACTTGTGCGCACACTCGCTCTGTCTCGAATAGATAAAGTCTTTAAAAATAAATAAATGTCTATCCACTATTTGAACCTTTTATTGGATCCTGAGCACATACAAAAGAATTGTAAAACATATTTATTCCTAGCCCATTAAGTGTTAACTTGGTGTTTCCAACTTATCTTCTCTGAAGGGCATCCTAAAAGAAAACTAAACACCATATAATACCCTACGGTTAACAACAGTTTAAAACTCCTTCTCTGACAGCCGATGAGTACGGTACTTGTTGAGACTGTGGATTTTAGTATCAGACTTAAGGGTTTCAAACCCGACTCTGCCATTCACAGAGGGTCCCAGGGTTCCATTTCTTCAGTGTGCTAATGTAAGCACTAAAGAAAATAATGCATGAGCTGAGACAGGGATCATGGCTTACGCACCGCAGTGTTTCCAGTGGAGGTAAGAAAGAGGACATGCACGGAGGGCTGAACAATTCAGGGAACGTCCATCTTTAACTTGAAACATCCAATGGTACCCAGTTAATTTTAGCAAAAGAAAAAGATTTTCAGCAGATGGCTTTAGTCTGAAGCTAGCGGCAGAACAGCTGGTGGGGATCATTTGATGCAACTTGCCAAAATAAAAAGCCCTCATAAATTTGGGGTATAGGATAAATAACTTTCTATCAGCGGCTGTGTGCCTACAGGTTGCTTACTTCAATTTGCGTTTCTTGGTTTACGTATAAGCGGCTTTCTACTTTGGCCAATCTGTAACAGTGATGAGGGCATAATCACCAATATGTGGCCAAAAAAATCCAAAATGACAGGGTCATACTGAGTTGCCAATCATTTGTTGGCCCTACATTGTTCCCCAGAGTATTCTCAAACTCCTTTTCTTGGGAGAGCATGTCTTGACAGTAGAGGCAGCTTAACAAGACTTTCCTACCTACTACAACCATAGAAGTTTCCAAAAGTGGTCCAGTTTTCTGAAAGAGCCATTACTCTTCCCAAAGCCTGATGTTAACACACTTTGACAACCATACTAATTAGAGAAAGCTTTTTGTCAATTGTGGTCCTTAGCTGGATAACTAACAGAGTACGCTTTTATCTTCAACATAAAGAGTTCTTTTTTTTTTTTTTAATTATGTTGTCAGATGTAATTATAGAAAACTAGGTATAAATGAGATTATGGGATCTATCCTGAGGTGCAACTTACCACAACGAAGCTCTGTGTTCCATTCTAGAAAATAAGGTCAGCTGAAGCTGTTGTTTTCTCTTCAATTTTAATGAACTGTTTGGTGTTTTAAAACACCTGGGGTTTTTTTTGTTTGTTTGTTTTTGTTTGTTTGTAAGTAGGTTGGAACCAGCATGGAACCCAACGAGGAGGCCAGAACTCACAACTCTTGAGATAAAGACCTGAGCTGAGATCAAGAGTCGGATGCTTAACTGACTGAGCCTCCCAGGTGCCCCTAAAACACGTTTTTATAAAAGCAACAATTACTCGGTGAAATCTGCTTATAACACATAATAAGTGGATATCCTAACATTGAAAACATCCTCCATTCTTCTCCTAATACATTTATATTTTGAAGTACGAAATACCATAAACATATAAAACAAAATAGAAAACCTCTCCCAAGATTAAACAGATTTTAATATTTTGTCATAATGTCTTTGGAACACTCTATTTTTTCCCCCAAAAAAGCACATTACAAATAGAGCTAAACCCTACTCCAATCCCATTACCATCTCTTCTCCTTCCTTCATCCCCAAAAGTAATCACAATTTTGACCTTAGTGTAATTTATTCCTGTGCTTGGTTTTGTACTTTTGCTATATACATACATATAAAAAAAAAAAATAACAAAACAGTATACACAAAGATTCTGTGAGTTCAAACTATATGTAGCTTTATGTAAATACTAACATACTGTATGAAACCTTTTGCTATTTTTTCTGTTCAACATGTTTTTTAGATTATTGGTGTTCACACATGTAGTGCAGTTACATGCTAATACATGTGACTTACTCATTTGGAATCCTGAGTAGTACTCCACTGACACAGAATAATCCAGTTCATTTATTTTTTTTCCTTAATATATTTCTATTTTGCTCTTCCTCAAATCTCTATTCTACTGAATGTCCTTTTGTGTATCTCTGTGTGCCAGATTTCCCTAGAGCAGATAACAAGAAGTAAAGAGGCAGGATCACATGGTATGCAAGTATCCCATCTTATTAAACATTAGCAAAGCTTCCCTGAGTTATCGTATCACTTTATATTCTCAAGAGTTCCTGTTTCTCCTCCCCCTCGACAACATTTGGTGTTATCAGACATCCAACAGTTAGCCACCCTAATGAGCATTACCTGGTGTCTAACTGCAGGTTCCATCTGCACTTTCCCTGATACTAGGGAAGATGAGCATATTTTCATATGTTTATCGGCTTTGGGCATCTTCTGGGAACTGGCCCTGCATACCCTTTGCCCAGTTTTCTATTGGGTTGCTTCATCATTTTCTTATTAACTGGTAGCATTACAATTATTTTTGCGTATTTTGGGCACCAACCGTTTGTAGTTACATGTGTTGCAAGTATCTTCTCCCAGTCTGTGTTTCTGTTCTTAATTCCAGTCATTTCGTTATGGCTCATGCATTATCGGATGTCTTGATATTTTACTACCCAGGTACAAAGTGGTGGTTAAGCACATGGGTCCTAAAGCCAAACTGCCCATGTTCAGATCCTGACCTTTTCTCTTACTAGCCATGTGGCCTTGTATAGACTTACTTCATGTCATTGTGCCTCAATTTCTTATCTATAAAAAGGGTGTTACACTCGTACCCACAGTTGTGAGGATAAGATGATTTAATACATATAAATCACTAAGAATAGTATCTGGCACAGGGTAAGTTCTCAACAAATATATTGCTGGTACCATTCTTCATAATTATGTTATTCCTGGTCTTGTACACATATTTATATGATTGTTAGCACTGATTTGCCATGTTTCATGAAGAACCCTATTGGAATTTTGATTTAAGTCACATTAACACCTCACAAACTACACCTTACAATTGCAGAGGGGAAGTGTTACCTTTACCTGGAAAGATACAGTGGTCATCACCTTAACTAATCAAGTGACCAATGTAGCATCACAAAAGGGAGACCACCCAGCACGTTCCTCTTGATACAATGCAGTAAGAAGTGTACCACATCGCCCGTAATGTATTCTTACAAACTTAACCTGAACCTAATCAAGCACTTAGACCTAACTTCCAATTTGCAGGACATACAGGGGATAGGGACAAGTAAAACTACGTTAGAAACAACCCCAGAGCATGTGGGGCATTCAACAAGACAATGGTGGTTCTGTTAAAGTCAGTGTCAGGGAGAAAGAAATGGGCGCTATTATAGAGCAATAGTGACTTAGACATACGACAGGTCAGAAATGCACCTTGTACTGGACTCCAGTTGGGGGAAAAAAAAACAACAACCTATAAGAACCACTTGGGACATAACTGAGAAACTAGATATTAGATCACATTTGGAATTATTGCATAGTTCTCTGAGGTGTGATCATGGTACTGTGGTTATGTAGGCAGTGCTCTCATTTGTAGGAGATACATACGAAAGTATTTGATGTCTATAACTTAATTCCAAATGTCTGTATCGTCATTTCAAATGGTATAGCACAACCCAAAAGCATAGATGATAAACACAAATAATAACGATTTCGAATGTAAGTGGTGTGTATGTGGTGTTCATTTCAGTATTCTTCCAAGTTTTCTGTATTTTACTTTTTTTGGTAATAAAAAGTTGTAACACATGAATGGCACTAACCTTATGGATTGATTTGCAGGGAAAGTGTCATCTACATGGTACCTACAAACTAAATAACTTTCCATTCATTTAGGTCTGCTTTTATGCCCTTCAATAAAGTTTTATTATAATTTTCTCTATAGAAAATTTTCATTTATTTGTTAGATTTAGTTAAGAGGCAAGGAAATACACTCACCATGAGAGCCTCCAGAAAGGAGCATAGCCCTGCTGATACCTCAATTTTAGCCCAGTGAGACCTGCTGGACTTCTAACCTACAGTAAGATAATACTGTAAGATAATGAATCTGTCTTGTTTAAAGTAATTTATTACAGCAGAAATAGAAAAGTAATACAGCAATGTACTCCAAAGATGCTTAGGTTCAAGTGAGAAGTCCCATTTTTACCTACAATATATTCTTTAAAAAGAGTCCATAAGAAACTACAACACTGAAGGCAATAAGGAAGGGACATTTACTACGTTGGCACACATGAAGGGAATTGGTTCTTTCCTTCTCGTTTGACTATCAATCTTTGTACAATTTCTAATTCTACTCATCAGAACCCAAAAGAGATGCATGGTACCTGGAATTTCTTTTTTTTTTTTTTTTTTTAAGATTTTATTTATTTGACAGAGATCACAAGTAGGCAGAGAGGCAGGCAGAGAGAAAGGAGGAAGCAGGCTCCCCGCTGAGCAGAGAGCCCGATGCGGGCTTGATCCCAGGACCCTGAGATCATGACCTGAGCTGAAGGCAGAGGCTCAACCCACTGAGCCACCCAGGCGCCCCGGTACCTGGAATTTCTTAACGGAAGTTCTGCTTTTCAAAATTTTTACCCATTTGTTTGCCCAAAATAAATATTCACCAGTAAAAATAAGAATTTAGTAGCATAAAGAAGATTACTGGTTTTGAACCTCAAAGCAAAACAGAGTGCATTACTCACTAGGGTTGCTATGAGCATTTTGGGCAAGTCTGTTCTTTACTGTGCAAGATTGTTCCACAAATTACCAGACACGGAGCATCCCTGGTTGCTGCCCACTGAGCACTAGCTGACCTCCCTCTGTGGCCACCTCATGCCCCTGTGACGACAAAGCATGCCCCACAGACATTCCCAACTGCCCTCTCTCCATTCAAGAACTACCCATACAGCCTTTGTTAATAATGAATCTAATCTACTTTTTTTTTTTTTTTTAAAGATTTTATTTATTTATTTGTCAGAGAGAGAGAGGGAGAGAGAGCAAGCACAGGCAGATAGAATGGCAGGCAGAGGCAGAGGGAGAAGCAGGCTCCCTGATGAGCAAGGAGCCCGATGTGGGACTCGATCCCAGGACGCTGGGATCATGACCTGAGCCGAAGGCAGCTGCTTAACCAACTGAGCCACCCAGGCATCCCGAATCTAATCTACTTGTGGCAACTTGCTGGCCTGTTAATAAACTAATTAAAGGCCCTAAGATTCCAGCAGAAGCAGGCATACTCAAGATGATATAGTTTATCAAGGAGTGCCATGAGGTGATGATAAAAGAAAAGCCAATGGACTAGACAGTGTTCACTGAGCAGGGAACATGAAAAGAGCTATTGCCCAACATCTCCAACAAATCAGAATATATAAATCTGCCACTTGAACCCCCCCTTCTAAAGACAACACTGACACAAAAAAACTAATCAGAGCCCTGAAGTATCTTCGGGGTCCCAGACGGCTCCCATTCCTTTGTGGACCTGTGACCATGGTTGGACCACCGGGCATGGTAACGTCTGCCAAGGACCTTGTGCTCTCTTTCTCACCAGGCTGATGATTAGGAAACTGTACAGAGTAGCAGATTTCCTGCTCCCTCAAACTGATATGTGTTTATTTTTAAAAATAGAACCGGTGTTTTGTATCTACGATTATGGTCATTATCTTGCTGAGAAACAAATTAATTTGTGAAACCAGCTGAGCAGGCTCACCGCATGCTATGATTCTAGGTAGGGTGCGAAATCAACTTGAAAAGCAGGAATACAGAAAGTGCAGGTTTCACCGATCTCTCAGGATACGCTCTTGGAAAAAAACTAAAATCATTCCTAATCCAACAGAAATGACACAAGAAATGGTAATGCATATAGTTTCCTCTGCTGGCTTATTTTGAGCTGACAATGCTCAGCCAAATAGCGTCTCAACTTAGATTTCCCTGCTCCCTCCAAAAGATTTCCTGCAAACATCTTCCCTTAGAAGGTGCCAAGGACAACTTGATGAAAAGAAAGGAGTAGAAAAAGTATTTACCAGTAGCACAGGAGAGGAAAAGGGGAGTGGATGGAAAGCACGCCAATGAGAGGGACTTACCGGACAAAAGTAGGTGTTCTCCACAATGTGATGGGCCACCATGCTGTTCTCGGCAGACAGGGACATGATGAACAGCAAAGCATCCCGGGCCTGCTGACCTACTGTCCCCTCTCGGTGAATGAAGGGAATCAGAAGGGAGAAGATGAGGAAGTTGGCGGCCCCTTGGTCCTCACTAGTGTGGAAGAAGAGTTCCAGGATAGAGGGATCTTTGGCAAGGATGGAACAAAGCTGATTGAGCAGGACAACCAGCTTCCCCTCCACGGTGGGGGTGGTTGTTCCCGAACAAGAGCTCAGCAACATCATCAGGGGCTTCAGGATGGGCTTGTGGTGCAGCAGAGGCTGGTGGGACTGGGTGACCAACATCTCATACATCTTGAGCTGCTCGATTTTAGTCTCATCAGTAAATTCCCTCCGCAGGCTCCAAAGGAAGAGCTTCTCCATGATGTTCTCTGAGACCACAAATTCCAAAATTGGCCCCATCGCAGCATCCTTGGCTTGCTCTTCGATCAGCAAGAAGAGCATGTGTTCTACATAATTCTGTACAGCACTGGCCTCATCTGGAGGGATGGACCCATATTTTGCCTGGGTGTTCTTCAACGGGTCGTGCTTCTCTAAGATCTTCACAACCTGCAACCAATGCAGACATCTGTCATCCACCTCTTGTTTACCATCATTACAAAAACGCACCGCCACTGACTGTGTCATATCTTCATGGGAAATGAGGAGCCATGGCCCACAATAAGGTAAATTATGAAGGGGCGCCTGAGTGGCTCAGTTGGTTAACCATCTGACTTTGGCCCAGGTCATGATCTCAGGGTACTGGGATCGAGTCCACAGGGAGTCTGCTTCTCCCTCTGCCTCTTCTGCCACTCCCCACCCCTGCTCATGTTCTCTCTCTCTCAAATAAATAAATAAAATCTTTTTAAAAAAAGATAACTATGAATCCTGTGTTTGCCTCTCTCATGAGGATAAGATGAAGTGGTTAAACTATAGAAAGCATGTGTTTGAAGATGTTCATTTATAATAGTTATAAATTTTGGCAACCTAAATGTCAAAGAAGATCATATGTTTAAAAAAATTAAGTTACATCCATTCATAAGCCTTTATTATAAAAACCACTAAGCAAAATGAAAAACTGTGAGTGATATAATAGATGAAAAGTCATTTATATACGGTTAGATCCATCATTATCAACTGTATCAAAAACATGTATGTGAAGAAAAAATCAAAAAGAAATATGGAAAAATAGGGGCGCCTGGGTGGCTCAGAGGTTAAAGCCTCTGCCTTTGGCTCAGGTCATGATCTCAGGGTCCTTGGATCGAGTCCTGCATCGGGCTCTCTGCTCAGCAGGGAGCCTGCCTCCTCCTCCTGTCTCTCTCTGCCTGCCTCTCTGCCTACTTGTGATCTGTCTGTCAAATAAATTTTTAAAAATCTTTAAAAAAAAAAAAAAAGAAAAAGAAAAAAAAGAAATATGGAAAAATAATAATTATTTTTGTGTTCAAAGGCATGACAAGTTCTCAAATTTTTTCTGAACTGTCAAGAATGTAATACTGCTTTTTAATTTTAGAATACATTAAATAAGTAGATTTATTTAAGACTAATTTATTAAAACTAATTTAAGTCTGCCCATGTTCTTCTACAGAGTTGATTTGGAGGTTCCAACAGGGAACACAGCTCCTCACACGTCCTTGACCGAACATCTCTCCCCCTTCTATTTGTATGGGCACCTTCTTCTATCACGCCTGCAAGATTAGGTTGGATGAAAGGAAACTGATGAATGTGGGACACATACCTAGCAGAATGGCATATGCTGAAACTAAAAAAAAATAAAATAAAATGAAGGTTTTGAACTCTGCATTTTTTTAAACCAGAAAAATTTCTGACATGACCAATTACAAAATAAATCCCTAACATAGCAAGTCTCTGATGGAGGCGATAAAAGTTTTGGAAATAGTGGTGATGGTTGCATATGTTGTTTAACGCCACTGAACTGGAAACATAAGAAAGGTTAAGACGGAAATCTTTGTTATATACATTTCACCACCAGAAGAAAAAAAATCAGTTGATGGTAAAAATATACATAAATCCCAGTTAGGTCACGTGACAACCCTGTTGTTTCTCTCTGCTGACTACTGAATGCTTCCTACCTCTCTCTGTCCATCAAGATTATTTCCACCTTGGGACCTAGAAATTAAAACAATTTTTTCATCTCAACTCCCATGCAACCATATGACTTGGAATTTCTAGGATAAGATCCATTCAGTTTACTTCCTTTAAAATGTATACACATAATCTGAGACAATGCAAAACCTTATCAATGACTTGATCTTTGGTCCTTTCTGCCTTCCTGAACTGCATACTGTAGGGATTATGTGTGTCTTCTGCTGTACCCTCCTGGCCCAGTTCTATAACGTGCTGTTACGTGGCCTATTTTTAGGTTATAGAATTTTTGCAAGTCACTGGGGAAGCTGGCAAAGGTACAATGTTATGTCAGCATGCATGAGCAATGAGAAAAATTTATTCCTCTGGAAAAGGTCTGAGATTTTCCCCTGTCAGAAATGAGGCAAAGGAGCCTTTATAGACCAGGCAAGTGTATCCAGGATGAATAGATTTTCACAGAATCTGTCATCTCTACCAACCTGCATTATGAAATTAATAATGCTGTCACAAAGGAAAAAATCACTCCAACACCCAAGTTGGCATGTCCAATGAGAAAGGCCTTCAGTGAGCAGCTACCTGGGTGGAACAGGGCTCAGGGACCAGTGGCCCCAGTGTACCCACTGGACAAGCCCTCTCCTTCAAGGCATGCCAGACTCCAGAACTCACCCCCTCCCCACCTCCCCCAACTTCCCAGAAGTCCTCCAGAATTCCTCAGAGGCCTGAGGACCTCACTGGCAGAAACCCTCACTGGCAGAAATGCTGGGGCCTGGCTGTCCTAAACTCTGCTCTGGCCTTGGCAGTTTCTGGTGTGGGACCACAGTAACGCACATTTCCAAAAGGGGCCACCTCAATACGCATTTTCTCCAGCCCCAAATGCTTTACCTTCAAGGCTCCACATTCTGAAGAATAAATTAGTAACATACTTCATCAGTGCCCTAATTTCAAAGTCCACATACTGAGTTTACTTATGAGAGCTATCTACATACAGGTAGGCCTAGGGGTAGAAATGTAATTATACTTCTCATGTGTGCTCAGGCTGTCTAAACTGTTGAAAATTGAAACTGTGCTTTATATACTGTTAGTGGTGACACAAATTAGCTCGATCTTTCTGGAAAACAATTTGGCAATCTGTAACTGAAGCTATAATATTACTCCTGCCCTTTGACTTGGTAATCTCACTTTGGGGAAAATGCCCCAAGGAAACAATCTAAAAATAATTTGTTAAGAAAGGTTCACACCAATGATATTTTCAATAATGAAAAATAAAAACACCATTGACTCAGTCAGTCAATAATAAGAGGATCATAATGAAAATGTTACATCACCATACAATAAAGCTATTAAAAATAAACACTAAGTGAATCAAATCACTACACGCAAATGTATATATGAAACAATTTAAGTTAAAAACTAAATATACTGACAAATAGACGTAGGATCAGAAATGAGTCTGAAAAGACATAAATGGGATTTTTAGGTTAATGAGTTCTTCTCCCCTGTAAACTGATCTAATTTCATAATATAAATAAAAATTAAAATAGACATAGTAATCTCATACTATGTCTTTTAAAAGGGACCAAAACACTGAGTTAAAAACAATTCATAATTGAAGTCTCCTAATTCTCAGAAATTCCTAAGCAATATAAATTTACACATGTGTATATGTACGTAGACTACATGCATGCATGTGTTTCTCACATACCTAAATGTGTGTAAGTAATATACAAAACTATTTACATGGGCACAAAGTACATTCTTCTCATAGATTTGTCATTTATATTATTGTATACTGTATTGTATACTGTAATTCCTTTGCAAAAAGACCTACTTTTTTTTTAAGGTTTGTCATAGCAAAAAAGAGAGAGAGAGAGAGAACTGAGGTTTTTATACAGAAGGCAAACTGAGCCACTTTGGAATTGAAGAATCTTTACCCTCTTGATAGCATAAGCCTCGTCAACCCTGCCTTCTGGGTTACTAGGCAGAGAAATGCCAGTGCAGAGCTTTGATAACCCACAGAAGATGTAAGGTTTATTGGTCGTGTGGAATGGAGCGGACATATTAGGAGCCCGCACTCATTCCCAGCCCAGGCCGCGTGGTTTCACTGCCAGGAAGAGGGTGTGTTACACCGGGCCTGTGAGTCACGGAATCCACAGTGCTCAGCAAAGTGCTAATTATGCCTCTGCTGACACATGTCCTTAACGTCCCTCCTCAGGTGTCAGGACCCGCCCAGGCCACCTCCTTTTCTCTTCCCGGCAGATACACCCACGACCTGCTTTTCTGAGTGGGTTCTTGGGGCCCATAGCCAGGGCCTGGGGCCTAACCAGACGGGGAATGTCTAAGAAGCTTCTTGCCTAGCGCACAACATGCACTAAAACGCCGAAGAAATTCTGATGTCCCAAGTTTGCTGCCCAGCTGGTGTCACAGTTCTCTCCACTTCTGCAGACAGATGCCTGATGTGACTGGACTTTTCCTTATTCTTTCCTTTAGCGCTGTCTTCTCACATCACTTCCACCAAACCCTGAGATTCCTGTGTGCTGACTTCTGCCTGCTGCCTACTGTCACGCGTTGATCCACTCTGACCTTCTAGTCCCACAAATCCACAGTCCCATGCTGCTCCCAGTGGCATCCCCAGGCCAAGCACGTTCCCTTGAGATCCTCTATCTTGGGCTCTCGACCCTGCCACAGGTCTCCCAGCCCTGGCTTCTGGGCTATATACTTTGCCTCCGGGATTTAGTTCAGGGGAAAAAGTACTACTAAGGGAGCTGGAGGGACCCAAGGATGGAAGAGAGGGAAAACAAGCAAAACATGCTATGCAAACATTTCCTTTACAAGTTCACTTCTCTAGGCTGAAAATGCCATTGAATAAAGCAATCAGCCCCTGATAATAGCCCAAGCTCATTGAGTAAGCCAGCTAAGCTGGGAAATAGCATTGTCAACGTTTCGGCATTTATTGGCATTTGTTGGTCCACAAACTTTAACAAATACAAGCTGGTATATATGTGTGTGAATCATGAGCCTGGATCACATAGAGATCCTCATGTAAATTATCACAATTCTAAAAAGAAACAAACACACCAAAAAATCAATAGTGTAAATGATGGTACACAAATTACCATCTGACCAATAGAGCTACATTTCAACCTAAGTCATTTGACTTAGGTTAATGGAACGTTGTTACGGGTAAATGAGATGAACAAAGAGCATCTTTCTTTCACTGAGGCTATCTGCTACTCCTATCCTTAGCTCTAATGATGGTCCCCGACGGTCAGTAATAATAGGTCTGAATTCCAATATTCACAAATTCTAAATAGGAAGCTCAAATGCTTTCAGAATGAAAGAGCCACATAATCACTCCTCCAGCTAACAAATGATTATTCTTTGTGGTAAACACGAGTGTTTATCTGTCAGCTTAGCTCTGACTCCATCTTAATATTGTTTTGTGTCTTACATACATGCACGTATTAAGA